GTTAAACATGGGTAAATATCTATGATTTATTTAAATTTATTATTATTATTTTTTTGACTAAATTTTATTTTCAATAGATTATTTTGTATTACACCAGCTGTTGCTGTACGTCGATCAATTACAAATCCAAAATTATCATCATTAATGTTGTTTACTGGTGAACCAATATCAGCAAAAGAAGCTTATGAACATGGTCTTGTTAGTCGTATTGTTGGTGAAAATGATTTAGAACGTGAAACAAATAAAATTGCTCAACAAATTTGTGCACATAGTCAATCAGTAGTAGCTATTGGTAAAAAATATTTACAAATGCAAGATAAAAAAGATGATCTATTTAATGATTATCAAATAGCTACACGTGGTATGATTGAAAATCTCGAACTTAAGGATACACAACATGGACTTGAGTCATTTGTTAAAAAAACACGTCCAACATGGACACATAAAAATGATAAAATTTAGAATTTAATAATTTTAAACATCTCAACTAGTGATCTTATTTTATATTATCGATAGACATGTTAGAATTTAATAAAAATACTAATATTTAATTTTTATTTATATCAGAATATTATTAAATAAATGGATTCTGATCCTAAAAAGATTTTGCACAACTCACATATATTTTCCAAAAAAAAATACTACGTGAAAGTTGTAGATCAAAGTTTTACAGCTTCCCTTCTCCATTACAGATCTTAGTAAGCGGATTGGTTATTAATTATGTTTTCATAGCAACCGAGAACACCAAGCATCAAACTTCTTTAGCGATGGAAAAAGGCACTGAACGCAGAGTTGGGGAAAGTTAAGTTCTGGCTAAACGGCATTTACGACAAGACTTACGAGGAAACATTTTCAATTGATCAATCGATTTTTGAATTCGGATCCTGTGCATAAGTTAGACTCCAGTGAGATATGAAAAATCTCAAAGAAAGAAGTCCTCTTAAGTCTTCTGTTCGAAACTATAAGCACTTTATTGAAATTTTAGCTTCTGACATGGTAAATACCAACTAATCGAATGACAATATTTCGACCTGAGATTTCATCCACAGATAGATCTATTTGTCAGTAGAATTACTTTAAAAATTTTAACTCAAAAGAATGTTTCCTTCCTGAGATAATAAAGTCTCAAAAAAATTACTCATATTCTACGAAAGATATTAGAATTTTCTATTTTTTTAGAACTTTAATATCTCGGGAAGGAAATATTCTTTTAAGCTGAAATTTTCAAGGCATTTTACTGACAAATAGATCTATCTATAGATGAAATCTCAAGTCAAAATATCTTCATTCGATTTGTTAGTATTTAACATACATGGGACTAAAATTTCAGTAAAATACCTATAACTCTGGACAGAAGGCCTAAGGAGCTTATTCTTTTGAGATTTTTCATATCTCATTGAGATCTATCTTATGCACTGAGTCCAAATTTAAAAGTGATCGATCAGTTCAAAGCCTTTCCTTCGTTAGACTGTTCTCGAGAATTCTAAAATTTGAATGATGATTGAAATACATAGGTAGATGTTTTAAATAGTGCAGTTTTTGATTTTTGTGCAGATAAAAATTTATGTTTAAGATGTCAAGGATGACGGGCAATGATGTATTGATTTGTCTCAGTCGTCATATGATCAAGTTATACCTTTGGAAAATAAACAATATTAGTCTTTCTGACTTTATCGAAATATATAACAGTATGTTGAGATTTGCTGTAGATATCATTGATATTCACAAAGCGCTTTTTTGCCAATCAAGCTAAGAGTTAGAACAATAAACGACATACGAGAATGAACACATGTGAATTTTACATTTCAGTCCTTAAGAGGCGACGCTAACATTGAATGTCTCGATATAAATATAAATATGAAAAAATATATATTTTACAAAAATCTGTCTACAAAAAAAAAGGAACCAATTATGAACGAAATTTTCTTTTTGTTCTTATGGAAGATCATAAATTATTTTTCTTTTTTTTTAGTAACATTGAATAATATTATGTAGACGAAGTTGATAAATTTTGAATAATTTCTTCAATTTCTGTAACACACGAGACATCAGGTGTATATAATTGACGATAAATATCCAGTGCTTTTTCGAGATTTTCTCGTGTTTGTTGAACATCATTCATAGATCCATAAACAAGTCCAATATTTTTATATGTTATTGCTATTGATGGGTGTACAGGTGAAAGATATTTTAATTTCATTTCAAGTGATGTTTTGTAAAATCCCAATGCAAGATGATAATTTCCGAAGAGAGTATATACTTTACCAAGATTATTGTATATTATAGCAAAATTCTGTGCATCATCGTAGCTATATTTTGCCATAATAGCCAAAGCTTGATGATAATATGAAAGTGCTTCCGAGAATCTTTGTTCATTTTCATGAATATTAGCTATTTGAGTATAACAAACTGTAAGATTAAAATAATTATCACCATATAATTGCTTTAAAATTGTTACAAGTTGCATGAAATAATTGAGTGCTTGTGTAAAATCTTTTTTATTTAAATAAACTAATGCCATATTTTGATAACTTTCAATAAGATTTGGATCATTTGGTTGTAATTTTTCTTTTTTTATATCGAATGATTTTTTAAACCAATTGAGACTTGACTCGAAATTACCTGTCAATAAATCTAGACTTCCTAATGCATCATAACAACGAAGACGATCTGGATCATCATTTGGTAATTTATTAGCATAAGAATCAATATATTTTTCACCTCTGTCAGATATACTTGCATTAAGTATTGAATGACCAATTTCAAATAGTAATTGACCAAATCCAATAGCACCTATTTCTTGATTACTATCCATATATTTATATTTTAATTGATCAAACATTGCTTTTGATGCATTCTCACTGTCATTTCCACATAATGACATTTTAATATTTATTATACCATCTTGTTCATTTTGAATTTCAGTAATTTTAAAAAGAGATCCAATCATAAAGAGTACATCATTTGAATCTTTGTTATTAATTAATGAACTAATTTTAGCAAATAGTTTAACATTTTCAATTTGTGGATTAGCTTCAATTATGAATAATATACGTTGATATTCATTAGATAAACTTATATTTGATATACATGAAAGTGCTGTATTACGATCTGAATTTGTCAAAAAAAATGATTTCATTGCAATAACTTTTCCGTTAAAATTGTTTAATTGTTGAAACATTTCTTTTAACATTACTTCACCTTTATATAGGAATTGTTCACTTATTGTGATCACCTTGTCTTGATTTTTGAAACTTCTCCTTCCTTCTATGTCACCACTTGTCATGTTTTCGAGATTTCCCTTTCCATCATGATGTCATCAGAGTAACGTTTAAATAGTTAATGAAACATTCGCTACAAGTAGAGCCCGTCGTGTTGGGTTCGGATCCAAAAATTTTTGGACTCGATGAGCTTTAACTACAAGTGTTCTGTCATCGTGTTTGAAACCTGTACAGAAAGGCAAAATTTATCTCTACTTTTCTTTTTCATTTATTTATGAATATAACTTTTAACATAAGAAAGACACAATCTGTAAATAAATCGAAATACACAGTCACTTTCAAATACAAATAAAACTAAACTAAGAAAAAGAATGTAAAACAAACAATGAAGAGAAAACGCTCGATATATGACATAGAAAACATCAATAATAAATATGACACTATTTACATAACAAATATACGCTGTTTGAGCAAGTGCTCGTATACGTTATTTAATGAGAAAAATAAGTTTAAACTATTTGTTTTATCGCCTATTACAGAACAAACCCTTCTTTCTTTCATCAATTATCATTTGCTTTAACTTTTACATTTTATAACAGAAAAAATCGCCCCACTTGCACGCTCTCTTTTTTAGCTACGAAAGAAATAATATCGCATAACCATTAATAATATTATGATGACTATTGACCCCTCCTTCCCTAGTGATGTTACAATATGTAAAGAGCCCTATACTTCAATAGTTGATGTACATTTATGTTGTTCGAGTTGTTTGTGAATATCATGTATAAAAAATTGACAAGATAACATCGAATCTATATCTGCAAGTTTAAACATATTCTCTATTAATACATGAAAAAATGGATCTCTATAAAGCCAGAATATTGCTTGATCGGAATGATAACCTTCTTGAAATTCCAGAAGAATTGGTAAGAAATTTTCACTTTTTTGCAATGCATCTCGACATAAAGTAATAAAATCATCTTTTTCTACCAGCTGCGTTTTCATTCGAGCAAAACAATCGAAACAAGTATCAGAAATCATATATGAACAATCTAATTCATATGTTGTTTCAATATGTACTATTGTTCTTTTCGGTGCATCGGTTGTAGGTGGTACTTCACTGGTTATTGAATGATCGTTTATATTAGTATGACTTGATTGAAGATGTCTTTTAAGTTCATCAAGCTCTGCCAAAACAGCTTTGACCTAAAACAATGAAATCGATTCTGTTCAAGAAAAGAAACTAATTCATAATTCTAATTTCTCAACATTCCCAATTACACGATATATGTAACAGATCACTTGTAGTTAATGAATTTCTTTTTTGTACCATAGAAATGTAATTTAACTAATTAATTCTTATACAAGTTTTAAGTTATAGAATATGACGTAAAATCTTGTACATTTATTAATATCATTATCTTAGAATACCTTAGAAAAATTTGAAGTCCATTTTTTGTGTTCTTCTAGGTTCATACAGTATACATAAATAGCAATGATTTGTGATAGATCGTGAACATTAGGTACTAGTTGTTTTCCTAATCCACCATTAACAATTAATGTAATATGAGCATCTGTAGATTGAGATTTAATATATGTTTCACATTCATTTGTAGTTTTGAACAATTTCAAATTACTATCAAAAAGACGTAATTGTTGTTGAGTGAAAACATTTTCTTGAGAATCACTATTAGAATTATCGAGCCAAACAAGCGAAAGTTTTGGAATGTCGATATTATCACCCATTGTCTGTCGTAGAAATTATCTGCCTGAAATGAAGTCCTTGCTGTGTGTTTAAATACCAAAAACCATCTTGGAAAAATCCAAATGAAAATGTGGTGTATTTTATTAAATGAATCAGAGTTGCTGAGGGTTGAAGAAAGAAAAAATTTTGTTGACAACTTTTTCTTACTTCAATTCAATACGAATTGCGCACGAATCTCTTATCAACAAAAATGTCACGTGAATGTATAAGTTGGAAGCTGGGAAAAATCGTGACTCACAAAAAGAAAGTTCTAAAAATATATTGTAATTTCAGATTTATACTAATAAATCTATGTAATAAAGAATGATTTGCTATTTAGTTTTCGTCAGTAGTTGTTTATTGTGCTCTTTTTGTTAATAGAATATTTGTTTCAACAACAAAAAAATGTTGTATTAGATTAATTCAAGAAATCAGCGTTGCCACTTGTTCATCAAAACTAACAGTTCGAGTGATTTATTCTTTTTCTTCTATCAAGTTTGTTTTATTTTTCTATTAAATAAATATTATCTATCTTGAATAGATGAATTATTGCCGGAAAAAGTCGATTTTAATATGTTATGTTATATTATGTCAGATGACACGTGAGTTATTCTTATTGCTCAAGTCTTTTGACTAATGACTATTTGTTTTTAGTGACGCCATCTTTAATAAATAATCAAATTCGAAAACTAAGGTGAAAAAAACAGTCGATGTGACTCATACTGGTGGCTTGAGCGCGCTCATCATCTGTAGCTTGTACGATTTCGCTTGTAATCCAATATTTTTCTAAAAAGTTAAAAATTTTCATGCAGTGAAAATTTTAAAAAATCAATTGACAAAACTGTAGTGAGTCTTCCGATAGACTGCAATTATTCATCGATTTTTTCCTAGTTAAGCGAAGAACTTCAACTAGCCGATTACCAGCCGACCCGATCCGGTCCAGAAAAAAATCTACTGTTTACAAGAATAATCAAAACAATGATGTAGATTTGTTTTAATCTGATCAGATATAATACTCTTTACCTTTCGATGTAGGGTAAACATCAAAACGTACAAAATAGATAAGAGAAAAAATTGACAAGAAAAAATTATAGTAATTGACACTATTCATATATGTTAGACATAATCTAGGTTTGTATGCGTCAGTCTCCTAGGCACATGTATCTCGACAAACAAAAAGGATGTGCGTATATATATGTATGTGTAAAAAACAAGGAAAAAAAAGAAAGAGAAAATATGTATATGTATAATTATATCAAAGGGTAACGGATGACCGAGTATTGCTACCACAAATCATAACAACGTAAATGTATACAATTTCTTGTAATGAATTTTCAATTGATTTGTCATTGAGGGCTAATAGATACTTAGGCTTGCTAGCCGGATTCCAGTTACAAGCCACAAGGGAAAGGTTTCGATCGTATCCATCGTTTTGCCAAAAATATTCACACTCAAGATTTTCGACATTTCCTCACTCATTACATGCGGATTTTACTTTGCATATATGAGTCTTTTGCTGATATTTTTATATGATTATTAATTCCTGGTGGTTTGAAAGCTTTTGTACAGCTTGAAAAGTATACGCGTTATTTAGTTTATGCCGATCCATATTACTTAACCTTTGTTTGAGATCTATCTATCCTTATTTTTGTGCCATTTTCTTATATTTTCGCATAATTTTGCTGACATTAGTATGCATCGATTCTATTAGCACTAATATTTTGATCAATTCTTTCTATTTATCTTGAAGTAGGTATCTCTTCTCCAATTGTGAATTTGACATTTCTTGAGATCAACACAGCAATCTAGACTCCAACTCAAATTCATATCAGAATTTTTTGGACACTTAATTTGCCGAAGTTGAACTGTCTTGATCGGATTCTCGAATTATCTAATGCTATTCGATATCGAATACTTTAGGATTCGGTTTTAAGGATTCTGTAACACGAACTGATGAGATCGGACGATAATTAATTTATTGAGGATACGGATGTGAACATTTATTTTTTATTGTTTACCAATTGTCTTAGCAAACGATATTTTCATACTAAACTTGCGCTATGATGATTTTTTTACTACTCGAAAAAACCAATTTGATTAACAAGATTAAGAAGTTCAAGTGTTAGACATTTTGTTGATCTTCTTCGATTATCTTGTTCTTGATTCAATACCTTCTCAATCAAGATCTTCATATGATCATTGCTATTACTAGGTGATGAGCAGTAGTAATAACTTCAACAACAGTTCCATGTACATGAACATCTTGTACACATGAACGAATTTTTTATTAATAAGTATATAGTCCAATATATGGCATCTTGTATTAATAAGAGAGTTTAAATTGTCATCATCACCAGAGCATAACATCGTCAGTTCATCTTTAGTCCATTTCAAGACAAAACATAATAACAAACAATACAAAAATGTCAATTGGACTCATATATTATAATATCAATAATCATGTAAATGTAATATATACATTTATAACAGTTAATTAGTACTAAACAAAATTCATAACCAAAATCTAAAATGTAAAACTCCTTACTAATACTGTATTCTTACTCGTACTCAAGCATTAAATTTTCATACGTCTTTTGTACCATGGATGATTCCAAGTCATTTCAAAGATGTTGCTTACGCTCACATCATGGTCGAGACAGAAACCTACTAGTCGTTGGGGTTGTGATTTGTTCTACCTATATCGTAGGATACAAGAGCATTGCTAGTTGTATGATTTTGATATTTAATAGTCCTTGTATTAAAATGACTAATATGAGTAGGATATTATTTTTTTTGTTACTTTGTTCATCTTTTGTTGTAACTTTGCGTAAAAGGCATCTGTTTTTAATTTAAGCTGCAATCTGAATTCGATGTTTCTGAAGTTGTTTGATAAATATTTCTCTTTACATTTGCCGAAAGCATGAATCAACATTTCATTCAACAAAGAAAGTAGTTTTGCGTTCATTTATACATTTTCTCTGATCTTTTTCTGTAGACAATCAATTTTAAAACCCTCTTGGTATGTGACTAGCCTAGAAATAAAGCAAGGTGTATAACGATAGTTTAGACGCATCTCTCAACATTCCACTGCAACGACAAGGTCCTATGAATGTTGAAGTACTCTCAACAGACTAATATTATGCAATATTTTGAACTATTTCAATATATGTTGAAGCTTTTGAAATCATTCTCAAGTATTTTAAATAATTTGACATAATATGAAACTATAAAATCTCATGATAAATGATGAATAGAAGGTTTCCTTTTGGTTGTTATTCATAATAGAACAGAAAAACTATAACAAGATTTCTTGTTTTCACATGTTTAATTTTGCTTCATTGTTGTTCTTGTACTAATAGAACTAGCGTGTTTCGAACCATCAATATAGTCTCGTGTGTTTAATCTACTCCAGCAATAACATTTATCAGCCGTTATTAGAGTCGTTTGCTTGACATTATCACTCATGACAACATGTCATTGTCAGTATGATTATAATGTTTTATTAGGTTGATTAACAAATAGAAACATATTTATTTATTTAGTATTCTCAATGTATTATTAACTCGACAAAATTGAAATTTAGTTAATCTTCGAGTGATATATGATAAGAGATCACTAAACAAGTGAAATCACTGAAACAAATATGTATTGATGAAATGAATTCTCTTATATGAGCTACGAATCAAATATATCATGATGAACCGAAAAACTATAAAATTCTGTAATAAAAAGGAATACTGTCTTGCAGTGAAATATAACTTTTCATACGACAAAAAAATTCTTTTTTGTTTTGTTTTGAGTTGCTTGATAAGTACTGTTAATTTATAGTGATAAAGAACTGTATCGATGTAATTCAAACAACTATTTTGTTTTAATTCTGATTTGATAATTATTTAACAATTATGAAATGAATGAGTATTTGTTTTAATGTAAAAATTGTATTTAGCTATGGAAAAGATTGTAAAATAGCCCGTAATAAAGTCGTTAAATCAATGTCAATTAAATTCATTATAGTTAAACGTTCACGTACTTTTTTATATGTATCCATACGTGAAACTCGATAAAATGAACGTTTAAGTTCAGCAACTTCAACTAAATGTTCTTCTCGATTAGCAAATTCGAATGAGACGAGATATCGTGAATGTAATGGAAGTAATGATTTATTTTCATTTGACTCCATAAATATATTTTGTAGATCTATTGAAGATTCAGTATTATGACAATTATGATCTATTATTGATGAATTAAGTATAACAGATTGATCATGTATATTTATTCTAAAATTGAATCTATTAAATTTGAAATAATTTTGAATAAATTAACTCAGTCTTATTTGATGTCGGATCTTTCATTTCAATGTGTTCAATTGATTTCACAGGTGTTTGAATATTTTGCGATGAAGCTGTTAATATATTTTTTATATGTGTATTATTAAGCATAGGAATATTGATAGTGGTTTCATCATTAAGCTTAGATGAAATATTCATTTCAAATTTTCTGTATTTCGTCGATGTTGGTAGGATATTCACATGGTTCGTTGTATTGTGATGTATTTTGCTTTTACTTTTAGTCAAGCAACAACAACCCATAGTTTTATCTTCAGTTCTAGTAACTTTTTTCTCAATAACAGATTTTGGACGATTATGTGTAGCAGTAATTGATGTTTGTTGATTTTCAGATTTTCCTACTCGGTTCGGTGATAGATGAACTAGTTTGTATAAATTAGTTTCTTTATCAGATACCATATCATTTGATCCAATACTGTTTGATGTTTTGTTCAGTACTGAATTAAAGACAAAGAAAACTATTTATATATATATATATATATAAGTAGGGCTCCCAATTGCTTTTGAAGGTGAAACGGATTCAAAATTCGGTAGAAACTGTCTTCTTTGATCTTTCTAGCAGAGATCGAATTGAAGATGCTGAAATTATCGGCTTTCTGCAATATATTGCCTGAGAAAAACCTGCTTCCTATGAATATCTGTCAGAACCAGAGCTAAAATCGCTAAATCTTTCTTTCTATCACGGCTTCCTTCGAAACTGAAAATTCTGCTAAAAATTCTAAACTTTCGGAAAGGAGAAGCTCCTGCCATCTCCATCGTAATCAGTAATCATGTACATAATTACTCACTATTATTCATTATCACTCGATTGTAGAGTGTAAATAAATTATTGTTTTTATTCAAAATTAATTTTGATGAAAATTCTGGATTATCTAACAGTTGCGTTGAAATATCAATGCTATCATTTGTTTCTACTTGATGTACGTCATTCAAATTAGATGTTGACATAAAATCGAGTGTTGATGTTGTGTTGATATCAAGTTCGGCTAATTCATCTGGTGAGTCATATAACTAAAATTTACATTAGAAAATAGGCTCCATTCAAAAATTTCTCTATTATATTTTCAATAGTATACAATAAACGAGCATGATTTGAAATTCTTATTCTTTATAATTATCCTATACATATTCTTTTCAATGTTATGAAAATAATAATTTAGGTATCTTAGATTTTATGCATTGAAAGAAATATAAAAAAACAATTTGATACAAGTAGATATGTGTTCAAGCTTTCAATACAGAACTATTTATTATTATTCTACTATCGAATATCATTGAAGGAAATGATTTTTTTCTTTGCTTTAGCTATTAGAAAAAGAGAATTTATACAAGATTTATAGTGTAATGCGGAATTCCTAAGGTTTTCTTACACAACTTCGATACTATTTATAGATTGTTTTTAACAACTGGCTAGTTTTGATATTTTTTTACGTATTTTTTATCATATTATGCTTTTCATATCATGATGTTTTTTGTTCATATTAATTCTAGTTTGTATCCTTATGTAGCTGATGATAAACTTAAGTATTGACTCATTTTCTTAACGATCAATTGATTTGGAAAAATCTTTGAATCAATCTAAATTAAACGATCGAATGTATCATAACAACAACATTTCAAGATTTTTTTCAATACAATTAGCATTACTGTTCAATAAAATCATAACAAATGTTCTCGCATATTTTTCAAAGTTGGAAAGTTTATGTACTATAGGATGTCACGTAGAAAATGATCCTCTTCATGTCTTAGTGATTTTTAATTCTGTAAAAAGTGATCTGTTTTTTTTTTATTCATATAACTAACACTCAACATTTTTCAAAACATGCTTGAAACAAATTGTTTAAAATCAACAATTTTGTAAAACAACTTTTTGTCAAATTTTATTAACAGTATATATTAACTTCATGTTACAAATATCTTGCAATGTTTCGTTTTTTTTGCAAATGATGAAATGACGTAGTTTGTCTCATATTAAATGGTGCAATAGATTTAAATCTGATTATTCGATATAATCAATGAGATTCATTGATGAACGTCTGAAAGTTATCCTGGCATTATCTTTGTATTAATTCATGGATGCGAATCTTTTGCATGGTCTTGTTTCATTGTCCCAATTTTTCTAAAGATCTTATCCTGATATTTTAATACAAACTTAAATAAAATGTATCGCTAGCGTTGTTCTTTCCCACGCAATGTACGATATATTATGAAAATGTGATTCGAATCCAATCTTCAGCAAATTAGTCATCTTTTTTCTGTATATGCGAATAATTACTATTTTTTCAGTTTAATTCGATTCAGTTATACTTATTCCCAAACATTGAATTCTTCTCGTCGTTCAACCTACATTATCCAATGGTTAGTTTCCTCATTAGGAGTGATTCACTTTCTGAGTGTGAAAACATTTTATATACAACTGGTCTTCTTTTCCTCTTTAATCAATAGATAAACTTGATTCTCTCAAATAGGAGTTACTTGATGTTCAAGCATGAATAAAACGGGATTCATATTTTTCAACGAAGCTAACTGCTCTTCAAAATATTGGCTGATTACAGCATTCTTCAATGTCTCTTACTGCGATCATCGTCGACTTTTATTCAGCCTAGCAAAATGGCACGCCATGACAGAACAATTATGAGATAGATTTTTTCTCTGAATTTATTAGGGATGAATATCGAATGCTGATTAAATTTTCGATGAACTGCATATTTTGGTTATCAAAATTATATAGCAATAAGCTGAAATGTGTCTGCTCACGGTTATGTACCTATCGGAGACCGAAAACCAATCGAGTACTCGGCAAATCGACTCGACTCGACTCGACTCGGTTCACGCCGAGTTGAGTCGAGCCCGAGTGTGAAGCTTGAGAAATGTGTCGAATTGAGTCGAGTCAAGTCAGACCTACTGTCGAGTCGCGTCGAGTCGAATTTGACTCGAGGGATTCGACTTTTTAAAAATTTCTTCATAATTCTATCATTTGTTTCTCAGTATTAGTTATCGTCATCGTTAGACGAATCGAGATGAGACAATGTCAATTCATTTCAATGAATAGGTTGAACAAAGCATTAAAATGAATAAACAGCGATGAACTGACGACGCTAAATAAACTACAATGAATGATGTACACTAGCTTTCATTGTATTCAATGTATTATTGACTGTCCAAAGATTAATTAGAATGCAATGACTTGATTGATCATCAGCGTATGTAAGTGATCGGTATGCGATGTGCAACAGTTTAGTAGTGTATTGCATTATTTCATTATTTATTATTTATCGCAAAAAAAATGATCAGAACAGAGTGGATGTTTAAATAATCAAATATTTGATCATATTTAGAATATTGGAATCGATGAAATATGTTATCCATTCCATCCAATAGGATCGTTTTGAACTCTTGGAGCATCTATGGGAAGAAGATATCGATCTGCAGTATTGCTGAGATCGTGCAAGAAAATGATTCAGAATTATTCAAGAAGATCATTCCAAGCTCTGAAACCGAGTAGGAAAATCGTAGAAAATTTCTGTTTTTGACAGAGAATCTCCGAAAATCAATAGAAAAAACAGAAGCAATACATCAAGTGAAGAAAGTGAAGGACTTTTTCGATGACTTCCAACCATCTATGAGCGATAAAGACAGAATTTTAATAGGAAGACACAGAAAAAATCTGAGATCTCCAAGTCTCAAATACTAGCTTTCAAGAAATTGTCGCAATTTTCTGAAGCTGACTGTTTCCTTTCCGTATGGTCCGACGTGGGTGTTTCAACATTATGATACGAACGAAATGTGTGTCTGAATTTCTTCTCATTCTTGATATTAAGAATGTACTTCTGAATATTCGATTTTGAATCGATACTCGGCGGCTCGACTCGACTCGGCTCGGGTCGAGTCGAGTCGAGCCGAGCCCGATGTTTTTTAGATGCATGTCTAGTCGAATCGACTCAAGTTGAACTTTTTTGACTCGTTTCGGTCTCTGGTGCCGATATCCATTCTTCCTCGATTTTGATTACATAGTGATCATTTTAAAACATAGGTATCTCGAGAATATGTAAGAAATAAATTTGCAAACATAAACGAGGTCACCATATATTTTGTTGGGGTCAAGTTTCTATCGTACGATTTTGATAGAAACCAAGCTTCCATAGAAAAACAACCAATAAATGTCAGACACTCCGTAATATATTGAGTATATTCGCTTAAGTACCTGTCGTGGTTAATAGATGAAAGGCAAAGTAAATTCATCTATTTTATCAATATCTGCAGTATACACACTTAAGATATATAAGTATGCATTCGAGTCTCAAAAGACTAAACTCGTGTTTATAATTGGATTTTTCATTGACAAAATACAAGTGTTGATGAAATATTTCTTGAGGTAAGAACAACGAAAAACAGGTTTAAGCAGAAGAGCATAGAGTTTCTTTTATTGACATGCACCACATGGGGAAAGTATTTTCAATAAAATATTTCGGAAGACTTGGCTAATTTTCTGCACACATCTTTCGAACAAAATCTCATTTCTCATTGAATTCAGGGACCAATGAGTGTTATTTGTAACTGTCAATAATATAAACAGTTCAAGCAGACATTAACTTATAGTTATGAAACTATGTCAGCTGCTACTGTTTGAAGGACACCTATTAGGAAGTTATTTAAATGAGTAACATCTTTCAACAAAATGTTTAATGATGGACTATCGAATGAGAAAATATTGTCGGGTTCACCAATGCGCATGATTCAAATACTTTCACAAGTTGAATCCTATGAGGACGAAATTTTTTTTCAATTGAAAAGTGGTTCTTCAATCAATTTATTGTATTCGATTGAAAATGACTGCATAAAAGTCTTATGATAATACATCAAGAGAAGAGACAGAGATATTCTGGCCGGAAGAAGGGAAGCAAAGACATGCATGAGACGGCAGATGGGCGGCCTATTACCTTACAGGTCATAAACAGTTTAAAGGAGAACAAATATTTTCTTTAGTGAAAAATAGGTGATACAACGTATGTATCGTCGTTCCCAAAATTATTAAATGATATCGAACTAAAAGTATCACCTACTGTAATATTTATCAAAATTTGAGCTCAGCTGAATCATCAGAAATATATTCAATCGGGTCTTGATGGTTTTTTTCTGATATGCAAGATTTTAAGAGCTCATACCTTGATTGGATGTCATTCTACTGCACAAATTACAAATAGATTAATTCACTACAAAAATCTGCATCGATTTTTTTCAATTCATCTGTTCTTTTAGTGTTCACGCAAAATCACTATGAATATTAGAGCTTCGAATTCGATTATTCTAAGTCTCAGGTATTTCTTAAGACCACAAGCTTACATAGTGAGACTGTATTCACATTAATCATATAATATTCGAGACAGCTTAAAATTCTG